GTACCGTTCATATGTCTTTTGATCATTTTCCAGTTCCATACCATAGCTGTGGAATATGACAAGGTACTTTGACTCCAAATCCGCGGCAAAGGCCTCATTTTTTAGAATATGTTGGTATTTCGCAAGAAGCTGCAGGGCGTTGTCGGTGGAGGTGATATTCTCAAAGGAGGAGTTGATAGCCACCTGCATGGATGTTTCTAGTTCTGCTATACGATGCTCAAAAATTTTAAACTCCACATCAAACTTGTTGTTGTCATGGATGTCAAGAATGTCGGTTGTCTTGCCGCGCAGATGCCCCAAGTACTCCTCAAAGCGTGGAATGAGTCCTTCCATCTGCTCAATATGGTAGGTCTTGAGCTTCATGAATTGATCCACCGTACTGAATACGCTGATAAGTTTATCCACACGTTTAGTGAAGAGGTTGAAATGGCCCATGAACTTCAGTTCATCAAAGTCAAACTGTTTTCCATCTTTCCGAGCGAGTAGTTCTTGTGCCTTCTTGTACTCCTCATTGTAGGCCTTGTTACAGTCCACACTCAACTGCAGCTGCCGCAAAAGTTCTTTAAGCATTTCAGGGTCTTGCCCACTTTCCCAGATGCGGCTGCGTACACCGGATGGATTAATGGCCGCCTTACATGACAGCACAATCGCGTTGGTAACCTTAAAGAACAGTGCCGTCATACACTCCCGCCTTGAATAATATCGAGCAATCGTGTACATCATGCGGATATTTGCAATGAGTGCTGGAAGGATGTTAATAATTTGTGAAATGTCCGAGGAGTATAATACATCAAGATACTTGTCTAGTGAACGCAGATACTTCACGTTTTCTCGCGCCTCCGTTAAGGCATCGGTGAGTGCCAAATCCACCTCCGTCCACCGCTGCAGCAATGGGCTCTTCGCCTCACGCAAGTACTGCACGGCGCGTGAAGACTCAACCGTCTCCAGCTGCTCCTCCAAAAGGTGCAACTTCGCCAGACGATTCTTCCAGAGGGAAATCTCCGTCTTTGGGCCGGCCTTTTCATCGTTCAGTTCGTTTTCATAATTTGGCGGCCGAGTCACAACGTCGTATACGACCTTGATCCACCCCTCCACCGTTGTTGCGAGGTTGTGCACAAGAACAGGGTCATTGATGCCACCCCGCTTATTCACCCCACCACTCTGTAGCAGTCTCCACGTCTCCGCATCCACCGGATCTAGCACATAGCTTTCCCCCTGCAGCTGCTGCAACTCCGAGACACGGTCCGCGTACCGCAGGAGATGAACAATAAACTGGTTGCGTTCTGCCATCGAGTTCTTGCCCCACTTCCCAAGCTTGTTAAAGAGCGGCGTGTAGACTTCCATAAGAAGATTCTCGTAGCTTTGCAATATATTCGCGTCCAAAGATCCCATGGTGATTTCTTGCACGACCTGCGCGGGGTCCTTGGCGCTAATTCCTTTGCCGTTATTCGGGCGGAGAAGATAGACACAACGCTTTGAGAGGCATGGAATCTTTTCCTTCAGCGGATTAATAACAGCGAGTACATCTTCGGTGCTCTCTGAATCGTTCGGATCGGGCTGATACGTGAAAATGAGGGTGTTGGCGCCTCGCCCCTCCAACATGTCATGTACCACCATAAAGTTCGGGGAGCCGTCAACAAAGTTCTTGTCAAGCTGCTGCGTGAGACGATCTGCCACTTCACCATCACCGCAGGCAAAGAAATCCTTCACACGAGAGAAGATGTACATGTGGCGCGTGTCAGAGCGCACACGTTGATGATGTTCCTCCATTTTCAAGTGGGACGGAGACGCAAAAAATAAAATAACACCAACGACGTTCTCCCAATAATTCGCAGTCAGACAAACCAAAGGTGACCAATTTAATCACCAGCACAAATGCTGCGCAGCCACAACAACAACAAAAAAGCAAAAAAAAAAAAATACACTCAATCAGCAAACACAAGTTTGGCAATGACTGCAAGAACGGGGACAAGCTAGTTCTCTGTGTGTTTGTGTGTCCCTAGCGTTTGTGCAGCAAAGAAAGTAAAACGGTACTTTTCTCCACTTAAATAATTCTGAAGATGGGCATTAACCCACCACCACAGAAAGAATACAAGAAAAAAAAAAAAAAAAACAAAAAGAGAAAGTGTGAGACTCAGCAGGTTGGCCGGCAGTTGCAGAAGCCCATTTGCAGAAATTAACGAAATACAGACGGAGTGAGTGAGAGAAAACACACTTATTGGCGGTGGTGGTGGTGGTGGTGATTGATTTTTTCCCCCTTTGCCATGGTAATTGAAAGAAAGATGTCTGCGTGTATGTGTGTGTATGGCCATCGACACTTTTCCCTTCGGGGTTGTTCCTCTACACACACACACACACACACACACACACACACACACACACACACACACACACACCAATAGCACCTTTGCATGCATGTACGCATTGCATTCCTTTCTCTTTATATATTTACAAGCAATGAAGCACAACACATGAAATGTACACAACTCTACCGGCGCTCTATAGGCGCAACTCCTCCAGCAGGTATCGATAATCGCACAACACACCCCACAACAACTTTGGAATTCCATGCACACGGCGCCGTGCAGCCGCCTCCTCACGAGATTCGGGCGGAGGCGCCACTACTCTAGCAGCAGCAGCAGCAGTGGCAGCGTTTTTTCTCCGTTTCGGTGCATTCTTATCATCATCGGCATCATTCTCGTCATCAGCGGTATCAATCATCTCCCGCTCAAACGGTTTGCGGCACAGTCGCACGCAGCGGTCCATGACCCACGGCGGTATGACACGTTTTGCGTTACGGAATAATTCCACAAGACATTTACGTAACACCTTCTCCTCAATGAAGCCGGTGCGAATATCATCGTAAGCAAAGAAGGCATCGCGCAGTCGATGGTAGTCACCGTCACAGGATCCAAGCAGCTCCTCTCGCAGTAGTCGCTTCATTTTTATTCGTCCCTTCCGTACACGCTCCTCAAGTTTAAATTCCTCGGCATTTCCCATGGCACTTTGAATCGTAACGCGTGGCGTGGCCTCCTTTATCCACGGCTGTGGCACGGACAACGCTGCTGCGGCTCGACTTGACATCTCCACTGATTTTTTTCCCTCCGCACCAACCTTCTTCTTAGGGGTCTCTTCGTCAGACGTAACCGCATCTGGGAGACCCACGTAGCTCTCCTGCACCAAAAGCGTCCCAACAAGCGACGTGTAGTGGCAGCGATTGCCATCGCACCCATTGATAATTCCAGCACGTACTAACTCGTTGATTTCACCTTCTGTTAGGTCTGGCGCAACCGCGTAAAGCGCGCGGCCAAGGTCTTTGGGCGACACAAAGCCATCCTGCGACCGATCGTAGTTCGTGCAAAGTGAGAGCAGCTGAGAGCATTTTCCGTAGAGTTTTTCCAAAATCCCTTGCGATAACTCCGGAGGGTCGGTCTTGTTGGCATCGCTTGTATCACTTTCCGACGCATTCAATTGAGTTGGTGGGCGCGGTGGAATCCCAGGCATTGGGGGATTATGTCTCGTTGCACTCGTGTCTGCGCCCTCATGTGTGCTCTGTGTCCCTTCAGAGGGGAATCCTGGTCGGCGTCGCACACCATCTAAAGAGGGAACCAGCGAGACACGCACTACACCAGGCCTCGTCCCGCCCAAGCGATCTGAAGAGGATCCATCTTCTGCGCCGCCGGGGTGATTGCGATGCATGCGTGCCGATACACCGTTTCTGGGTGAGACAAACGGCTGCACACTCCGAATAACTCCAGCCCGAGGCACAGTCTTGTAGGCAAAGACAGAGGCTGCAATGGACGAGTTCTGTTTTTGTTGCGGCTCCTTGCCAACAACTTGTTTTTTTTCACTCATGAAAGTGGGTTCCTCACCGCTGTTGGAGTTCCTTCTCCTGGGCGTGGTGTCTGTTAAGATGTTCCCATTTCCGTCCTTCGTGTCCGTCTTCCGAATGATTGCACCTCGACCCTGGCTCAAGGACACAGCACGCCTGGGTGGATAATATTTAAATTTTTTCTCGTGCTCATGTGCCAGCGAGGAGGCGGTTGGCTTCAACAACCTTCCCCCCACATTGCTATTACCAGCTCCTTCTCCACCCGATGGGGATGCATTTCCCAACGAGGAAGAAGATGATCTCGTCCTCGCTTCCCCGGAATTGCTCACCACTGCGCCACGAATGACGGAATTTAAAGGCTTCTTTTCGCTGAAATCGACCGGTTGATTCATTGGGGATGGGGAAGGTTCATCCTCCGTTCGCTCAGCACTATTCTCATTCATGAGATCACCGTACTTTTCCTGAAATTCCTGTTCCAATCGCCTAAGAAAGTCTTCTTCTTCAATGCGTTGTCTCTGCCGCGCCAGTATTTCTCTGTGTAGCATCGCGTAGTCTTGCTTAGCCAGACCTGTCGCCTCGCCGGCTATTTTGGCATCTGTTGTGGATGAAGCAAGCGACACACTCGGGCTAGACATCTGTCGTATTCTACTTCGGTTCATGGTTGTTTGTGGATACGGCATGGGCGCACTTAACTCAATTTCATCTTGAAGCCCTCGTTCTATAGGCAGATCATACGGATGTGGGCTCTGCGATCTTGAGGCGGTCATTACAACAGATTTCTGTTGCTTCTCCACGAAGGATTTCGCCTCCGATTCCCTAACGGCATTTGAGAGATGAGGGGATGGCGATGTGTTTGCACGGCGTGTGGGTGTCACCCGTGCTAATAAGGGTCTCTCTGAGTCAGGTGAGGGGGAAACGGAGACGGAGGAGCCTGATTTTAGATGATGTTCTACTGCGGCCACTGCCGTGCTACGCCCTTGCGGTGTGCTGGCCAAACTGGACTCTATCGCATGGCTGAAAGCCAGGCTTGTATGCACACTCGGTGGGGGGCTGAAACTATTGACGTCCATGTGCGACACCGGCTGCTGCTTGGGGCGGTACATTACTTCAGTGGGCGGCGAGGATGGTGGTGGGGGTGACAATGGCGACTGAGACGGTGACATGAAATCGTATGACGTTGGGTTCATCAGCGGCAACGGTTTACCCGGAGTCGCCACGTCTTTCTCTGTATTCTGACGTTGCCGTGCATCAGTCCTATCACGTCCGCTATCTGTGACACAACGTGCACTGGACACCAGCGGGGGCGATGGCTCCGTTGCAGCCGCAACCCAAAGCGCCGACCGACGAATACGCTCAATGAGGCTGGAACGCATGCGTGATACAAGCATACAAAAGTCCACCATGTTTAATATTCTGTCACGGTCATCGTGAGCAGCAGCATTTGTACTTGAAACATCAGACATCTGAGAGACGTCCAGTTCCAAGGAGTCTGCAAGGGCAGCCAGCTCCAAGAGCGAGATGTCAATACCACGTCGGTGGAATGCGTTCCACACCTCTTGTAGTGAGACGTTACCATCTTGATCCGCGTCCACTAAACGGAATACTTCCCGAAGAGAAATCAACCCTCCTCGGCTGGCTAACCCTGAAATGGAGGTTCCATGACTTACTCTCGATGTATTGTGTGGCAGGGACGTGCTTGTCAATTGTGTGTCCTGAACCAAAGACCTGTTTGTGTCAATCATGGTCGTCGTTTTTGCCGCTGCGCTCGGCCCTTTTAAGGATGTTCCTTTAGTCTCCATCTTCCCCGCATCCATCATGCCTTTTGAATCATTGTTTGGTGGTCGCAGTGCTCCTCTGTACCCTCTCCCACTCAACTCCTCTTGCGACGCTTCTTTCTTCAGCCCTCCGGATGACAGTTGAGAGGTACTTCTTGAAAAGGCACACTCCTTTGCCTTCTGCAGCATCCGCTCCACAGAAGAAGTACGGCTTGACGAAAAGGAGGCGCGTTCCACGGGACGTTCAACAAATTCGGATTTATTTGCGCCCCCGCTTGTGACAAGTGGGGCTTTATGTTCCCGCCCATTCGCTGCCAAAGCGGTGAATCTACTTCGCGGAATGGCAAAACGATGAGTTGAAGCAGAACTCTGCAATAAAATCCCCGTCGGCTCACGCGCATCGGGAGAAGCACATGAGGAGTAAAACGTCTCGTTTCTTTTGTCATCGCCACCGGACTTAAATGCGCCATGATGTGAATCATAATTCGCGGATTTCTCCGCACACGACGCCACCTGGCTAATGACATATGGCTGCGGTCGTTCATGTGAAATTCCGGCCGCTATCGCACCTTTTTTCATATCACTTTCATCAGAGAAGCGGGACGCAGAGCGGCGGCCGAAGCTGTCATCATCGTCCCGCGCCAGCAGCGATGAATTCATGCACTCTGCTAACTGTTTCATGCTGTCCAGGAGAGCTGCGTAGCGGACACTCCCTCGTCCTTCCACCTTGAACTGCTCAGTGAGCGCCTCCACCTGCGCCAGGGATCCACCGTTGCGCAGCAGCACCACTTTGAAATCCTCACACGGAATAAAACCAGACCTTTCTCTATCTAATGCCCTCAGGTCCGACTCTAATTGCTCAATAGATTCCGTCATCTCTTGCCGAGACATCGCGGCATCAATGGAATCCCTAAACGGAATAAGAAGTCTATGCCTTCCTTTTTACCAAAATGGAAGGGTGAGAATAGAGAAAAAAACAACAAAACAATAACAACAACAAAAACGATATGCATATTATTCTTCGGTGGTAAATTTATTACACGGCGTGTATGCGTGCATTCCAACAAAACTGAGAGTATCCGAAGGCTCCACTTTTTTTTTTTTAAACTTATCCTCAAGAAAAAAAAAAAAAAAAAAAAAAAAGAGACACAAAAAATACCCCCGCCTCCTCAAAACGGGAGGCGCTCAGGACCAGCGACAGCGAGAAAGGGCACACAAAACAACATACACACCATCTCCCTCTGTATATGTGCTGTAGAGGCCCTCTTACCTCTGCAAATATTCTTCTCTATGCAATCAAAAAAAGGAAAACAACAACAGAAAAAAAAAAAAAAAGGAGAAAAAAAAACCGTTTGTGATCTGGTTGTCGTCTTTTTATGCCTCTAACATTCTCTCCTCCTCTCCTCCCATCGTCTTCTATTTTCTCACTCTCGATATATTTATACAGAGATAAACACAGAGATAAATAAATAAAGCGGAAAACAAACTTCTTTTCATCAACTCAAACCATAACCCCCCCCTCCCCTTTCCAAATGGATTCCTCATAACCTTTTCTCATCCAACTTTTGAATTTCTCTCCCACACACACACAAAACTAAAAATTTCGAATGTAATCCGAACTCTCGCATGCCTTGTATTCACTCACCAGGCTCTCCAGAACTTCCCTAGAGTGTTTAAATTCGTCAAGGTTCTCCTTCATGGGGCCGTACCGTTTATACTGCTCCAGGAAAACACCGCGGTTAAACAGCAAGTCAAACTGCTTGAGCGTTCGTTGAAAGAGAGAATTTATACTGGTGTGATTTGCCATTACAAGTCCACTCACACGATGCCGTGTGTCTAAGTAAGGTGACTTCTTCGATAGAATCACTTGAATAGAAGCGGGTCCCCATGGGATAAAGTTAGGTGAACGCTCGCGAATCCGCTCAAGTGAACGATGTACTTGTGCCGGGTCTACATCGCCTTGAATGAGATTCAACAGGGAGATGTAACAACCACTCTTCATAGAAGTTGAAACCATCATATTCTTTGGCATCAAAAGCCGTCGCATAACGTCGTGCACGGATGTTTTCTGTACAGAAGACTGAATGTTCGAGGTGTCTAATGTTGTGGGTGTGTAACCGGTGCATATAAAGTGGCAGCGTGGAGTGGGAATCAACGAAGCAAGCATACTCATGAGATCATTATTCATATAACCCGGATAACGTAAAGTTGCAGTAGAGGCTGCCATAACGGTGCTCACTAATCCATTCATCTGTTCAACAGTGGGTGAAGAAATATGTAAATTATCTGTGGCAATACGATTCAGAGCCGTGTTGTCCAGAACAACGACACAATCAGCATGCAGCGTCAGACGTTTGATTGCTAACAAACTATTGTACGGCTGTACAATGACGTCGCTGTCTCCACCACGGGACTGATTTGGGAAAACACTATAAGTCTGAATAAGTTTCTTCGGAAACCGATCGTTGAGATGCTCAAGAAGATAACTTCCCATTCCACTGCCTGTGCCCCCAGCAATGCTGTGTGTAAGCACAAACCCCTCAAGACTGTCACTATTCTCTGCCTCGCGTTCAATCATGTCAAACAGTGTTTCTTGCACGCTATCGCCCATTTCATATCCATGGGCCCAGTTATTCCCGGCGCCGCCTCCCTCAGAATGGATGTACACATTTTCCGGGTTAAAAAGACGCTGCATGCTACCGCGTTGAATGGCATTAATAACGCGCGGCTCCATGTCAATAAGAAGCGCACGAGGAATATAGTGATCGTCGTCAGCCTGGTAAAAGAAAACGTCTTTCCGATCGTCCCCAGCACTTGCAAAGGGCTCCACAATACCATCATGACGAATACCATGTTCGGCGCAGAGCAACCGCCAGAACTCAGAGCCGACTTGGTTGCCACATTGCCCTGCCTGAAGTGTAATGATCTCTCGAGGCATCTGATATTCCGCTCTCCTATGGGTCTACCTTTCTTTTCGTTGTTTTAACGCAAGTGTGAGTTCCCCGAAGTTGTGTGTTTTTTTTTTATTTTTTGTGAATTCCCTTTTTTTCCTTTTTCCTGTCGCTTCTCCCCTCTTTCGTTGCTTCTCACGCAAAAGCACACGAACACACCTCTGTCACACCCACGTTGGAACCGAAGGACAAACAAAAAACAGAAAAAAAAAAGGGATGACATAAATAATTTTCTTCCTCCCCGTTTGGGAACGTGGGGTTTAAGGCAAATTCCGCTCCTTACTACTCGCGATTTTTTCAGGCAACAAAAACAACAACAACAACAAAATAAGCGTAAAAAATGTCCCGGTAAAAAGGCAAAAAAAAAAAAAAAAAAAAAAAAAAAAAAAAAAAAAAGGGAGGATAAAGAAAGTCATAAATGACGTATTTGCTCAAATGAATCCCCAAGTATAGGTTACTTTGCATGTGGCTCAGATGGAGGTGCCTGGGTATAGAAAAGCAGCTTACCAGACTTTTGCTTTGCAGCCTCCAGCCACTCCAACCATTCTTCTTTGAGCGAATGTAAATAAGCAATATCGGCATCTTCCTCAAACTTCCTTAGGAGTCTCCTGGCCTCCAATCGATCCTTGCGCACCATACCTTTTTCTTCTTCCAACACGGCTATTTGCTCCATGCATGAGGCGATGTCAACTATAAGGCGGGTGGCGACACACATCACCTCCGCAGGAGCCTTTGCAAACTTCTTTTCTTGAAGAAAAAAATCATTTTTGTGTTTTTCGGCAACTCGCTTCCGAGTGATCTCTTTCCGTGATACTTTGACCTCTGCACCACCGCAATCGATGTGCTCGTAACCAACAAAGAGTTCCGCCTCCACCACGGCACAATCTTCTTCAATTTGAAGGAGAGATAGCTCACGAGCCAATTGAACAAGCGAAGACCACGCCCATGACCGGCCTAAAGAAGCTGGAGGCTGGGAAACCCTCTCTAATCCCAAATCTACATGTCCTCGTCTTGCACATACACGTCCCAATACAGTCAGATATAAAGGGGATTTTACAATCTCCCACACATCACCGGTGATGCAAGTTGGTGAGGCCTCTTTATCCAAGGAAGGATCATTCTTTGGACCACCATCATCCGTAAGCCCCACAATAAAACGTAGTAGTGGTAAAAACTCTTTTTTCCCCCTGAAATCATCGTCGGTTTTTTCTTGGCACGGGGTCGAGTAAGCTTCAAGAAGGATACACACCTCTTCCCTCGCTTTTATTAGGCCATGTACCTCGCTACCACTAAAATGCAAAAAGGGATGCTCAGTATCATGAACAAAACCTAATGTCTCTAACCACTCAATGAACTGAAGTATATGGAAGGACGGAGTGAGATAGCGTTCCCACATCACGGAAGCCATATTTATTCTTCTGTAATTCGCTACTGAAGGGTGCGTAATAATGTTTTTAAAAATCATATCAAGGATTTCAAGAGCTTTTGTTCGGCACTCGGCCGATGCCTGACGGTGCATAAGGCAAAGCAACAGCGACAGCCTATCCAACATTCATCTGCTGCTTTTACCCGTTCCCTTTCTCTCTCTCTCTTTTTCCTTTGAAAGTGGAACTCCGAGCTGTTATCGATCAACACTGAAATAGAATAAATGGGAACAAAGCCAGGGCACACTAAATAAACAAATAATAGCTCAAATGGGTTGCAGAAAGATTTTTTCAAGCAAGTTAAAAAAAAGGGTTTTGACAATATTATTTTTGTTACTTGTAGTGCATTAGACATTCTCCCTTTTATTATCCTCATTCTTGACCCCAGAGGAAAGCAACAACTCCAAAATATGACGACGATCAAGCAATCTTGCTGTCAAAAACTGATACGGATCAGCACACTCCTTCCTCAGTTTTCCACTACTCAACGCATACCGTGAAAACGTCTGTTTTTCATCGGGTGCCAATAAAGGGGTCGATTGCAAAGACTCTGAGAGTTGCTTTTCTACTTCAATAATTGGTTTTCCAATATCATTTTTCCATCTAGAAAAGGAAAAGGACAATTCCACTGAACGAGAAGATTCATAAACATTTCCTGGAACACAATGTTTTTTTGAACCGTGCACTTCTTCCGATGAATTTCCGCGTTTTCGACGGGTTGGCCTTTTCACAGCAACAGAATTCTCACGTTCCATGCGCTCGTAAAGGCCATAAATATATATTTTATCCTCAGCAAGACGCAGTAGTGTTTCTTTACAACTTTCTTCCGTCGTATCCTGTTTTAGGTTCTGGTACAAAAGGGGCTTCAAGAGCCAGGAGCGGATACGCTGCAAAGATTTGTCTTCTGTCAGGGTACTAACCGTTGCATTCTTAAGCTTACGGGGAACTGTCTGAGGCTTAGTTTCTAATGAACTACTCGTGTTTTCTTCTTTCTCGGGCCTGCAAGAGAGACAATGAGACGAATTTTCGGATTTTCCTGCTGCCAAATCGTCTCCCCTTCTCTCAACAACTTGTTGACTCATATTTTCATTTTCACCCGCCCCATTCAATTCATTCAAGGGAGTTTGGCTCACCAATTGGGGAGGTATGACATTCAATTCCAATGAAACCGTTGGCGCAGCAGAACTTAATAACACGTTCTTCGCAATATCCAGCTCGACCAAAGGATTCGTCATATTCCCTAAATCTGTTGCAGCGCTATTATCCGTGCTCATTTGGGTTGGTACATCACACATATATTGAGCCCAAAAAAAAAGAAAAAAAATTTTCTTTTCGGAAGAAAAATTAAACCTAAACCATATCATAAAAAAGAAAAAGAGGGAAAAGTAAATAATGGCAATAATAAATGGTAACAATGAACCAAAGGAAAGAAACTCCTAAATATAATTTCTTTGTGTAACCAAAACTGTTTTTATTCGCGATCAACTAACCGCCGTCACATGGAAAATAAGAGAAATCCTTCAATCAAAATACATTCTAGCGTCAATAATTCTTCTTTCATTCATAAAATAGCCACTAGAGACTGTGGAAGCCACTCACGACACAAAATAAGATTCAAATCTTTCTGTACTTCCAACTGCTGTAGTGTCATGGCATTTTCACAGTTTGCCTCAGCTTGGCGTCTAGTGCTTTCAAAAACAAAATCTGCATTATCATCCCCATTTGACAAAAACAAAATTACAACGGCCTTATGTCCACAACAAGCGGCAAGGTCCATTGCTGTGCTTCCTCTAAAATCCCTCACACTAAGAGAGCAACCGGCTTTCTTAATCAGAAACTCGACCATTTCAACATCCCCTCGCACGGCGGCAAGCATTAAAGGTGTGCGGCCGGTATATGGGTGGGGAAGGTCCACGAGTGACCTAGACCCAAGTCTGAATTGCCGATTTTTAAGGCGCGCAAGGCCTAAACAATTTAAATCCGTACTTGTGCCTCCAGAACAAGATGTAGAATAATATAATATTTCCAACATTTTTACATCGGAACACCATGCCGAGTAATGAAATACATTAAATTGAAACATGTCGCGAGGATACATTGAGGCCCCAAGATTAAGCAACATTTCAGCAATAGAGTGCTTTCTAAGGGCAACAGCCCACATAAGCAAACTCATTCTTCTTTCCGTATCAACATAATTAACATTTTGTGGTGTGAGGTTTTTGGAAAGAAATTCAACATTACCATTTTCCATCGCCAGAAGAATCTCCTCAACACGACTAGCCATTTTCTTTTTATAGTATGCGTAGACTTCAAGAAAAGAAAATAAAAAATAAAAAGGCAATATCCACAAAGAAACCTATATACTTATTTTCTATACTAGCAAGACAAAAAAAAGCAGCGAATCCCTTTTCTGGAATCCACAATCCCACATTAAATATATATATATATAAGTCCAAATTCTGCACACATAGAAATAAAGCAATTTAAAAAAAAAAATCTTTGTATTATAGTCGGTCTGTAAGTATCTAAATAACAACAACAAAACAATAAATAAGAGATCTATGGATAAAACGTAGGTAGGATTTCTACTCCTCGGAAAACAATTTCTGAGAAACTGGATCTATGAGTGAACGCTCATTTTCACTGGCATTTTCAATTGACTTTGTATTCCCAACAAGCTTCTCCGTTGACACACTTGGGGAAAACACGTTAATTTTAGTAGTGGAGTAATAAGATGGCTCATTATGGTTTGTAAAAAGATTGTGTTGTGATTTTGCGGCATCCCCAAGTTTCCTTTCCTCTCGTCCACTCCGAAGAACCGTAATCCGTCGAGGAACTGTCGCAGGTGTCCTTAGGCGATTCAAACCCGAATGTAAGACAGGAGCATTCGAGGTTTGAGGTGCACAGGCAGGAGCAGCAAAAATAGAATTCCATTGTTGTACCGGTGGTTGAAATAATTTGACACTCTGCATGACAGGTTTTGGGTGAGAAAAACCAACAACAGGCACCGGGGTTGGATCATAATGTAATTCTGATGGCGCATTCCACGAAGGTGTTCTGTATCCGGGATAAAACTGACAGCTCGCACCTGATGGTGAACAAGTATGCATGCTGCTTGGTGAAGTGTCAGCACGAGCTGGTGTGGCAGTGTTGAAGAGAAAATGCTGGGGTGATTCCTGATGAAATACTGCTTCGGGTTTTTCGGGCGTAGAATTTTGCTGGTTATGCCCAGAGGGTGTAAGATATATTTTAATACCGGCATCCAGGGGAGATATATCAGTCCCTCTTATAAGTGAAGAGGCAGATGGAGGTACCACATTAGTTACTGGCTCGTAAAAATCTTCACTTCGAAGTATAATTTTCAAGCTTTCTTCAACAGGAAGTCTCTTTGGAACATAGATGGAATTACGTGCCTCTTTTATTTTTTCTGCCGAAAGACGTACACGCCTTTCTTTTGGTTCTTGTGTAAAAAGTGGACTCACCCATTGCAGCCGTTGGTTTTCTATAACAGATTCCAAAGTGATTGGAGATGCATCTTCGTTTTCTATAAAGACATTGTCAAACATATGCAATGCTCGACGCCATTTTCGCAGTGAAACGTCCCATGTACGCTTACTGCCTTTATTTATATCAGGCGGTGAAAGTGGAAGAATACCACCGCTTTTCAACAGAGGGTCACTCTCAACCAATTTTACCATGTTGCGGTACCCTTCTGTTACAAAACCGTATGAAATTTGTTTTTCCCGTTGCGCAGTCCGCCTTTCCTGTTCAAGGGAATTTTGGCAAGGGCGTCTACCTGAGAAATGCTTGCCTGCCATCTTTCTGTCTGAAAACGCATTCTCAATAGGAACATTTTTTTCATTGCCCAAAGTTGGTCGAACAGGCGTTTGCACACAAAAATTATTGCTCATTTTTCTCTCCAACCCGCTCAAGCAATCTACCCTTGATTCTGCTAAACCGCACAACAGATTAAAAAAGAAGTGGGTAATAAATTTTTTTTGAGAACCACAGTGATGGTAATAGCAATATTAATAAGATAGTTAAGAGAAAATGATTTTCATAAAAAAAAAAAAAAAAAAAGAAAAAAAAATTACGGGAGAAAGCAACGCCGTTACAAACAATAACGCCGCATTCTTGCGCGCCGCCTTCTGTTCGTACATGGTAGTCATTGTTTGTTCGTTCTTTCTCTTTCTTCCTCTCCGCGCTTTCCCGGTTCGGCGCCCCGCGGTCGTTTACGGCAACGCACGCCTCCCGACGCGCCGTTTTTCCCCGGCTGCACCCCGGGAAAGGGAAAGCAGGGCCGCCGCTTCGCCCGCCTCGCGCCGGGGGCGTCAAGCGCGTTTTTTTTCTGTTTTTTTGGCGCTCTTGTATTCTGTGTGGCCGGGGCTGGGCTATTTTGACTCGAGTCCTTTGCGGGAGGTGTTGGGCAATTCTTTTGAGGGGTTGGTGGCTCACTGGGGATCCGGCTTGCGGCTTTTGTTTTTCTTTGGTTTACTTTTCCTTTTTTTTTTATTTTTTGCTTTTTATATTATTTTTATGGCGACTGGTAACTGTTTTATTTCTCAATCAAAAAGAACGAGAAGGAATTATCACCGGATTTTTGACGTACCTTTTTTCCATGCCTTTTATTTCTTATTCTAAGTTTTTTTTTTTTTTGTTTAAAGGGGGAAAAAGAGAAATTACCATGCAACGCACACAGCTTTTACGCAAATTTATCTGTCGAGCTGGTGCTCTTGGCATCTTTTCTGCACAACGCCAGATTTTACCTGCATCGAATAATTATTATTTATCGAGTATTTCAATCCCTTTGGCCATATCGGCGCGGTTTCACACTGAGGGCCAGGGAGGAGGTGATGAGGCAACCCGGACTGGCCAGTATCTTCTTAACAAAGACGATGTTTTGACTCGTGTACTGGAGGTAGTGAAAAATTTTGAAAAGGTTGATGCATCGAAGGTAACACCAGAATCTCATTTTGTTAATGATCTTGGACTTAACTCCCTGGACGTTGTTGAAGTGGTTTTTGCAATTGAGCAGGAATTTATTCTAGATATTCCTGACCACGATGCTGAAAAGATCCAATCCATTCCTGATGCCGTTGAATATATTTCTCAAAATCCAATGGCCAAATAGGTCGTTTAATAGCATCATGTAGTGGAGGGTGTGTGGTAGCCTCGGGTCCCTTTTTAACCGCTGAAATTGTTATGAGAGTTTGGTTATTCGATTGTTTTACCTTTATTTTTAGGATTAGCTTCCAAATAACTCTAAAAGGGTTATCCTTGTCTCTCTTAACAATTTTTTTTTTTTTTTTTAATACACTTTTTTCAGTATGGGAAGAAATGAGGGAGAAGAGGGAACTGAAGAAGGAAGGGATCGACCGCTCATCAAAACTGTAGTCATGGATAAAATTAGACATCAATGAATTTACTGATGCCTTTGTGGCATTATTATTATTATTATTATTATTATTATTTTTATTATTTTGCTTCGGCATTTTGTGGGAACATCAGGGTCTTTGATATATATATATATATATACATATTCTTTGATGAGCACTTCTTGTGTTTTTTCTTTTTTTTTTTTTTTTCTTCTGTACATTGGTATCCTAGAGCAGCTTTAGTTAGACTACTGGATGCATAATGACTGAATTGTGGTGATCTGGGGGAAAATCCTTGGCATCAGGGCTTACCTGCTTTGAAAGGACACGAGGCAAAAGAAGAAGCGTGGTTGAGCCGTTGCTTGTCCGTAAATCATTTTGCTTTTGTTACCCCTTTATTGAGTAAACTGTGGACTTTTGACCTACTCAGAACAGGGGTGAAAAGCTATTTTGCATTTCACCCTGTGTAGGTATATATATCGGAATTCTGCATGCTTCTCCTGGCTAAATGAATGCTTTTTTTTTCTAGCGTTTAAGTTTTGGGTGACGATGCCTAATTGTATTTCGGCCTATTTTCTTGCTGACGTCAATGACAACTTGCTTCTGCTACCGCGACAGATGTATTTGTTAGGTTGTGGTGTTTTAAAACTGAAGGGGATAATATGGGGAGGAAAGTTTTAAATGTGTTATTTGTTCAATTTTATTTGTTCAAATATGACTAGGATCTTTTTTCTTCTTTTTTTATATATATATATATATATATATATATATATATTGTTAAATTGGGAAAAAATCCAATAGAATTAATAACCTGAGTAGGCCGCTCAATAGTTTAGGGTGCCACATTCATACTTTTTAAAATATCACAAGGTATATATTTTGGATCCATATATCACCTTGAATCATATTGGGGATGGGTAGCCCTCAACGAAATAACGGTTCCCATACGGCTGTTTATGGTCTTTCCGAAAAGGACTTGGTTGATCCAGTATGTTCCTCTGCATTTCCTGGGATGCGTTACAAGGGCCTTGATTCTGGACGTCCTTTTCAAGTTGAAGCAAGACCCGATTTGTCTTCTAGTGAACAGTTAGAACTGTCTTCATTAACAAGTGAAGAACCTTGCGCTTTGCCTGCTACTGTACTTATTGGTGGCGCGAGCAGATGTGTGGGGACTGTTTCTCCAGGTGAGTATGAGACTATGGAGGGTGAAGATGAAGAACCTGAATCGAGCTCATCGCTTGATAATAGTGGGGAGTATGCACCTCTTGGTTTCACTGTTGTTACGGGTGGCCCTTTAAGAGCTCTATATAAACCCAAGACGGTATCTTATTCTGCCGACGAATCTGAAGACAGTAACACAGAGTTGAGTTTTTCCGACGCACCCCTTGTTATGACGGTTCAAGAAAATCGTGGACAGGCGTCAGTTCAACGTCAAAAAGAAAGAAACATTGAAGTCCTTGAATGCAAACCAGAAGCTGAGGCGAAAGAGGACGTTGAGGAACAAGGGCAACTGAATGCGATTGTTATTAGGAACTTGGTAAGGCGTTTGCGGGACCCCAATGTTCAGGTTGCTGCTTCTGAATTTGAAAACCTTGAATGGGATGATCCAAATTTTGAGGAAGAACTGCAAACACTAAAGCAAATAGCATCGTATACAGAAGTAAAGGAGACCATGATGAAGACTGCTAAGGACGGCATATTGGAAAGTTCATCGCTTATGGATCAAAAGATAAAGGATGCCGTTATGATGCTTCCAGAGATCACCGTTGTGGGAGTAAAGGATAAATTTGTGGAGCAAGTGGGAACGTATGGCACTTTGAATAAAATTGGACAGGAATTTGTGTCACCAAATAGTCCAAAGAAATCCCTTTTGGGAGCTCCGCGTGAGAAAATTATTATTGTTGGAAATAATGGGAAGGTGGCTGTACTTTCCAAGGAAGCGTATACAGGTTCTCGTTTTGCCGGAAAGAAGAAGATGACCGAAAGCATGATATTTACTGCGGGTGGTGCTGAAGCGGCGATTTCCTTCAAGGAATCTCGCGTGGGTTCTTGCAACGTTGAAAAAAAGAAAAGAAAGGACCACTTGTTGACTTCTCAAAAATTTACTATTATTCCAAAAGAAGCCGCATTTGGTGAGGAAGAGAAACCGACCCGTAGAAAGCGCAGGGAGGATCTTGGCCGAAAGTCGGTTGTAATCTACGACATCCCGGAGTTGATCAATGGGGAAATTGTTGAGACAGAGTATATGGACACGGAAGATGCACACAATGGGGCCAAGGATGAAGAAAAACAGACAAGACGACACTCAAGGAATAAAGAGACAACTAGAAAGAGTCGAGGTTGGTCCGTAATCAACGAGGTCTTACCAGATGAGGCACAAAACGGTTACGCTGTGAATGGGGATGAAAATCTTCTCAGCAAAAAAGGGCGAGTTCCTGCAACGAGGCGACATCGGCGTAATAACAAAAATCGTTCCATTACTTTTGCTGAATTGTTGGAAGTGGAAGGGGAAGAGGTCCCACTTGAGGCATTGGGGGCTCAAACAATTTCTCTACCATCTTCTACGAATCCTCATGATGGAGAAACCACAGAAACCATCGTGGAAAACGAGCAAGCTACACATACCCCTTTGGGTTATGCACAAGTTTCTTGTCAAGATTCATGTAAACAGAAGAATTCTGCCGATGTATTGCAGCCTCTCGTTGAAAAAAATGTTACTGGGGTTGTTGAGAGGGCGAAAGATGGTAAATCACAACTGAAGAAGAAAAAAAGGTATCGTCCAGTATCGGACCGGCAGAAATCACGCGAGTTAGAATACTCATTATTTCTCGATGAGGAAGGGACTGAAATAGCTGAGTCAGAGGAAGCCTTGGGCCTGAATGACGGGAGGGCGAGTACCGTCTCACGATTGAGAGAGAAGCACTCCTTGGACCATCAGGAAGCGGCAAAAGACGCCAATTGCCAAGTATTGCCGCCTCTAGCTCCTGCTACCTCTTGGAGGCATCGTGTCCGGTCAAAGAAGTCATTGAATGCTTCCTTAAGCGTTACCGAACTGCCGGAACCCACGGTGAGTGAAATTCCAGATACCACCATGGATCCCTCAAAAGTGGCGAAAATGTCCAACCAAGGAGAATCAGCATTGGGTGTGACACACAATGCCCGTAAGTTCCGTCGTGCAAGGTCGAACAACCTCAATCGTTCTGCTACAAGTTTTGTTTTTGTGCCCGATGAGGAAATCATCGAATTGAAAGAAAAAGTTGAAGAAAGCCTGGATCAGACCACTTCCAGAGGAAATACGCTTAACGAAGGAATATTGTTACCAGTATTATCTAGGCCTCGGAGGCGAAAACACAGCTCTGCGGCGGCCAGCATGACATCTCTGGACATTGCTGAATCGAGCACGATGGAATTTAATCTTGACGATACAATTCAGAGCACTTGGAACAGAAAAAGGTCCAAATGACAATAATAAAACAGCTGGATAAATCACCCATTTGTTCTTTTGATCACCAGTCACTTTTTGTTGTGCATAAGGTGTCATCCATATTCCCTTCCGTAACGGCTGCTCAGTTTTAAGAGCTCCTTCACGAGGGAGGAAAAAAAAAAAAAAAAAAAAAAAAAAAAAAAAAGACGCACGAAAGTGCGTTTTTCCTCATTGTTGAAAAGAAATCAAACTGAAAAAGAGGGAAGACGAATGGGAGAAGGGACAAAAGTAAACTGGGTGACAGAGGAACAGAAATTCCATATCGCTTTGGATTAATTTATCATGAGCGCTGCACAAACTGGAGCAAAGATTTCCTTCCGGTAAAAAAATAAAGGTATGGATTTTTGGTTCTGCAAGTTGTTTTCTTGCCTTTTTGCAGTGTGGCGGGTCAGCGTTATATAAGATCTTGTTTCTGATAGGGAGCAGCGGAAAAGAAAAAGGAAAAAAGAAAAGAAAAGTGCATCAGAAACTTGATTGTACCATTGTTTTATTTTATTTTATTTTATTTTTATTTACTCATATTATTTGTCTTGATTCCTTTTTTTATTTATTTATGTTTTGTTTTACTCTTCTGCCGCCCCTTCTTCCTTTCTTCGTCACGAGTTGGACACCCATATTTTGTTGTGATCATTTCACGGAAACTGACTGCTGTATGTGAATTTTAACGGGGCATCACCAGAAAAAGAAAGCCTAAAGCAGCAAAGAAGAAAGCTATTTATATCTTACAATGAGATGATGCAGTATTCGTGACAACATTGTTACTATTGTTCCTGAGAGGGACGACTGGGCAGTATTGCGGTTGCTGACCTAACCATGGACAGACAAGCACATGCCTCTGTGTATGATTTTTTTTTTTTTTTTACTTTTTTACTGTCCTCTCTCTTACTGTTTTCCCCTCTTTTTTTTAGATTATGATCTTCTGAGGGGCTGTGTGACCATAAGTGGGTAAATAAATTGGTGGGTGTCTCGTTCACCTAATTTTTTTTTCCTCTTGTGTATTATGTGAATTTTTTTCTTGAAGGAAACCGCGTTAAAAGAGAACGAGGGCGTTTTTTTTTTGTTTTCCGTTTTGTTTTACTTACTTCCTGTATTATCCCTTCACGTGAGGGGGAATGCGGTAGTTGCAGGAGAATAAAGGCTGCCACCTCGTGAGTTCCCCCGCGAACCCGGTTATATTTGTATCTGACCTGTGAATTTTTCCTGTATGTGGGTGTTTGAGTGCAGAATAGATCTTCACTTAATTCTGGGGTATGTCGAGTATGCTGAACCAAGCTGTGATCTTTTCTTGCTGTTTTTTTTTTTTCGCCATGCTGAAAAAAGGGGCAAGGCTTCAGTACGACACATGTTCCTTTTTTTTTTTTCTTTTATTTTTATTTTTCCATTTTCCTTTTATGATATGTTTAACAGGCTTGCCTTTTTTTTTTTTTTTTTGCTATCGTTTCTTTGGATTTTTTACCTTTTATGTTTTTTTATGTGCCATGGTGTCGAGGTATATATATGTGTGTGTGTCTGTGTGCTTTTGTGCTATGCGGAGAATGGGGCTTTGCGGACAGGATGCGCCGGAGATCAAAAAAAGTGGAAGAGAAAATGCGATGGTGGGAGGCGATAGGGCGGAAAGACATCGAAGCACTGCTGTTTTTTTTTTTTTTTTGTGGCTGTTTTTTCATTCTCTGGTGTGGTGGAAGTAAGTCATTATTACCCCATGGATGTTTCTGTGGTGCTGGCCGCGGATGTTTTGTCCTCCTCTGACACGCGGCACGCTCTCATTTTAGTGGGACAACGAAGCGTCGCTGGAGGCAGTGGGAATCAAGAGCAGGCAGTGTGCATTGTTTCCGATGCGATTCCGTGCACAGACATGGATGTGATCATGGAGCAGGTTGAGTGCTTGGAGCAGGTGCTACCATGCGGCATTGCCTTCTTGGGCGTCTTTCTTCCAGGCGATGGCGTGAAGGATCTTGCGGCTCTACGGCACTCCCTCAGCAGTCATTTGCAAGTATCCTCTTTTTTTGTCGCGAAATACGATAACGAGGGAAGGGTGCAGTGTCGACTTCTGCAATCCGGAAGAATGCTGTCGGTGACTACACCTGACACAAAACCCGTGTTGGTCACTTTGGCCTGTTACTTTTTTTCTCCTTTAGGCCAATTTCCATTCATTGTGCGATCTAAAGATGAAAATATTACTAGTAATGTTCTACTAGACGTCACCAGCACTGCCTTGATGGAGCACAACCAGATCTGGGATTCGGTTGATGCTCTTTATGCGGTACAGCTTGGTTCCACAGAGGGTCAAGAGAAGGAAATGCTGTGCGTGCATGTGACTTTTTTTCCGTTTTTATCATGTGGTCAGGGTGTGTACCGTGCTATATGCACACTTCTGCCGAAAGTGGAACGAAGGCCACAATGCGTCATGGTGCGGGTAGGGTCGCGGAGATACCCCTCATTGGTCTATCAGTGGATTTTCACCCCCACGGAGCGAGGCTCCGCCGCCCTCTCCGTCAAGCAGTGGGATGAATTGAGGGAATTGATTGAGGATGGCGTGGGGGAAGAGGTGCAACCATCTCAAGTAGTGACGGACACTTTCCTAGGAGTCCCATCGGCGACTGCATCTACCACAATAGAGGGGAGTACAAACATGAGGAATAAAACGCAGGCAAGTGAAGTTTCGAATACCTTTCAGCGTGAGAAGGCAAAAGGCGACTTCTTGAGGTACATGCCACCTCTTTTGGTCCTGTTCTGTTCTCTTTTTTTGTACTTTTGTTGCACGAAGTAGCGCGCACTAAACAAGAAAACAAGAGGGGGGAATGTTATACATGTGTGTACGCCATCCGTTGTGGGGCCGTAGGGCGTTAACACGAAGATCTATCACGTGATGCTTCTTTCTTTTTTTTTGTTTCTTGTTGTGCGCGGATTTTTTTGAGAGGGCCGGGGTGCAATTTTGGTGTGCGTTTCCTTTCCTACGCATCTCCTTTCCACTTGTTGTTTCTGTTGTCATTTTGTCTGTTTTTGTCTTTCTTTCTATGAAAAACAAACAATCACATTGTTTGTAACTTTTTTTTCGTTTTCCTTCGCTGTGAACCGAACCATGCACGTTTACAGCCGCTTCTCGTGTGGGTGACGGAGGGGGGAAAAATATATAGATAGCGACGGGAAGAAGGAGTGTTGCAGGTATTGGGTTCTCTGGACGATAGCGACTGATGGGGATCTTGGGTCTTTCGAAGCTGCTTTATGACCGATCACCTGCTGCCATTCGTGAGCGTGAACTGAAGAACTACTTTGGCCGTCGCATTGCCATTGATGCCTCCATGACGATATATCAATTCATCATTGCGATGAAGGGATTTCAGGATGGGCAGGGGATGGAACTGACGAATGAGGCGGGGGAGGTCACGTCACATTTGAACGGTCTTTTTGCCCGCACTTTGCGAATGGTGGACGAGGGCCTGAGACCGATCTACGTTTTTGACGGTAAACCACCCACGCTGAAGGCATCGGAGCTACAAGAGAGACGACAGAGAGCGGAAGAGGCGCAGCAGTTGTTTGACACGGCTAAGGAGGAGGGAAATGATGAGCTGATGGAGAAGATGAGCAAGCGCACTGTGCGGGTTTCAAGGGAGCAGTTGGAAGAGGCGAAAAAACTGCTTCAACTGATGGGCATTCCCGTTGTTCAGGCGCCATCCGAGGCTGAGGCGCAGTGCGCGGAGCTGGTGAAGAAGAAAAAGGCCTGGGCCGTTGCGACGGAGGACATGGACGCACTTACTTTTGGGGCACCGGTGATGCTTCGGCACCTGACATATAGTGAGGCAAAGAAGCGCCCCATTGCGGAGTTTCACCTGGATGAGATTTTGGGCATAACCGGGTTGACAATGACACAATTTATCGACCTTTGCATTTTACTTGGCTGTGATTACGTGCCCAAGATCCCGGGCATTGGTCCACAGAAGGCGTGGGAGGGCATCAAGAAGCATGGCGACATTGAAACGCTTCTTCAGTCTCTTGATGCCGGGAGACACAGCGTGCCCGAGGGCTTTCACTACGAGGAGGCGCGACAGTTTTTCCTTAAACCTGAGGTGACTCCAGCTGAGGAAATTGAAATTCAGTTTCGTGAGCCTGACGAGGAGGGTCTTGTAAAGTTTCTTGTGGAGGAGAAACTGTTCAATAAGGATCGGGTGCTGAAGGGGATTCAACGGCTCCGAAACGCACTGACACGAAAAACACAGGGTCGTCTGGACCAGTTTTTTACCATCACAAGGCCGGTGACGAAACCCAACACCTGCGATGCAAAGGCCGGTGTGAAGAGGGGTCATAGCGCCATTGCCTTGTCGGGGACGCTGCAGCAAAAAGGGTCCTCCGGGCACAAAAAGGTGGTTAAGAAATAAGGCTGCTCTTCCACTGAATTATGATTTTTGCTTGCGACAGATTTTTTTTTCCTTTAAATGCATTCATAGAATATTTTGGAGAAATTGCTCCTTAATCAACATGAAGGAAGTGAGAGAGTGAAAGAGAGTGAGAGACAGTGAGAGAGAGAGAGGAGAAGAGGGGGTAATTTTCGTACGAAACGGACTACTCTGAAATAAAGAAGTGTTTATTATTATTATTTTTCTGCCTCTTCCTTTCTCTTTTTTATTATCTCTCTTATTCTTTTAAACCTACATCTTCATTTATTATTATTATTATTTTTATGCTTTGAACTATTTACATGAATAAAAAGGTCTGTTAGTGATGTCAGGGGCTCTTGGGCGTGGCTCCTACCGTTCTGTAGTGGCCGGTACGCGTAATGTGCCCCAGCGTCTGACATATTACCCCTGTGCATACGAATTGATGCAGCTACACAAGGCGCACAAAGAGGTGATACGCCACTTTTACGTTAGGGACAAGATCTTTGACAATAAATTTCCCACCACGGCGCTTGCAAATGGTTTGTTCAAATTTGTTCCCAACCGACGTGAGAGTTATCACATGCGTGAGGTGATGGAATCCATCCGCCGCCGCTCGATATTGATGCATCGCATACAGCAGCAGCGGGCAATCAATGCCAAAGTCGTGGAGGAGTTGGAAAAAGGGTACGGTAAGGAGTCTGCAGCGGCTATGCTTTGCTTCACCACGCCGGATTCTGACGCCTACTTTAACCCACAGCGTTATCAAAGTGTGGCGAATGCATGGCCAAATTACTGGCAGCACCCGAGTACCTCACATGTGGTGCCAAAACCCCGCTGGCGCCGTGTACCAGAGCTCGGCGGCATTACGCGAGTGCAAGACCCACTGACGGAGCAGGCGAACGACTACTAATGCAGCATTCTTTGAAAACACCTTTGGGGAAGATGGCGGCTTGGGTGTTATGCACAACATCGAATGTTTGACTTTGATGAGACTTGGCCACCTGGATTATCGGTTATTTCTTTCTTTCTTTTTTTCCTCTCTTTTTGCTTCTTTTCTCTGCGCATTTTATTTTGAATGTGCCTTTTTTTTTTGTTTATTTTGTCCCTCATGTTGACGTCCTGTAACGCTGCAAGAGACGAAGGCGGTAGAATTTAAGAAGGGAGGAAGAGAGAGAAAGAGGGAGACCGAAGTGACTGCATGACGGATGCGGATGATACCCTCGCAGACTACTGGGCGTGGTGTGCCCAAAATGGCGTTGTGAGTAAGAAGCTATTTTTGCGCAGGAGTTTGCATGGACTCATGCCGCAGTTCTCTCTTCACGTTGCTGAATCTGTACGTGCTGGTGCGGTTGTGGCGACCGTGCCGTATCTCGTGACGCTTAACACGCAGACGATTAGGGGGGATATGAAACCTGCTGCAGTGCCTCCTGTCCGTGCGATGTGCAAATTTCTAACGCGTCGTCGTCGGATGGATCTTGTTACAGCACGATCCTTGTGGCTTGCAAGTTGCCTGGCGTGCTACAGGCGGCTACTTGCGCAGGGGCACTCATTAAGCATCGCGCCACTTCTTTCGCGTCTGATAATGCCAGAATTGCCATCGCCCTTTACATCAACGCATATCCGATGCTATCCGGCCATAGTTGCCTCGCTACCGGAGGGCGTGGATGTCGCTGCTCTGGAGGAGTCGGTTTTCTCATCGTTGTGGAAACGCGTGGAGGGCCAGTTGCGTGTCACGCACGCCGCACTTTATTTTTACCACCAACGACGGGTAACACATATACCACGTCATCTTGTTCCTAGCTTTGATGAACTGTCCATGGCATATCGCATGGTACTTCATCGCAGTCTTTTATTGCCTATTGACTGCGTTCCGTCGTCACCGGGTGACTTGGCCGACTTGTTCACTGAGCAACCAGACCTCGATCTCTTGCCGACGCTTGTGCCAGTCGTTGATGTTATTCGAAGTTCCGCCGTGGCCCGGACGCTTTTGGAGGCGAAAGGGGGAGGCGTCAGAGGGAGCCAGGATGACAGCACTGCGGCGAATTGTGCACTGTATACATGCACACAGTCTGACTTTGTTTCCTCAGGAACTCGACGGCGTGTTGTTTTTGAAACGGAACCACTTTCCAGTCGTCGCGTGGTGGTGTGCGCCACGAGGGATCTGAAAGAGGGGGAAGAGCTTCTGCTTGACTACGGCTCAGAGTGATGGGGACTTTTTTTTTGATGGTAAAACTATTATTATGCTCTCTCCATTATTTATCCCTTTTTAAAACCTTGGAATGCAATTTGGTGTGCAGCAAGTATGCATCCATGTGCCTGGGGTTCCAGGGTCATTCCATTTTTTCTTTATATAAATATATATATTTTACTGCCCGCTGTAATTTATTGCATGGCCGCATCTTTTTTTATTTTTATTTTTATTTTTTGCTGGAATTATTATGGTGTAAATCCAGCAGCAAACAGTGTTACGGCCTAAAGCTTGAGGGAACGGAAAACAAGAACAACAACAACAACAACAACAACAAAAAAAAAAAAAAAAAAAAAAAAAAAAAAAGAAGAAGAACCCGAAAAAACAAAAAACAAAAGGAAAAGAAGGAAAGTGTAAATATAATGTCCGAGGCAAAGAGGATCGAAGTGAAGGCCAGCACGGATTACAAAAGCACCGCCAGGGCGAGGACGGCCTTTCTAAAAGGTGACTTGGAAATGTCTAGGCGTGAGCATGCAAAGCCGCTTCCCCACGAAGAATTTCACAGCTCTACTGCCTCCGATTACATCAAGTCCGTTGTATTTGGCGGTCTTGACGGTATCATGACGACATTTGCCATTGTTGCGGCGGCAGTTGGCAGCAACAACAGTTACGTGACAATCCTTATCTTTGGCTTTTCAAACGTTATTGCAGATGGATTTTCAATGGGGTTCGGGGAGTACGTTTCCGGGGAGGCGGAGCGAGAGAATGCGCTGGCTGAGCGTCGCCGAGAGGAATGGGAAGTGGAGAATGCATTTGACTTGGAGGTAGACGAAATGGTTCAAATATACGAGGCGAAGGGACTCTCACATGAGGACGCCACAACAATTGTGAACATCATTTCCAAGGATCCAAAGCTCTTTGTGGACTTCATGATGACGGAAGAACTCGGGCTTCTTCTCGACCTCAGCGATGTGCACGGCCCGAAGAAACAAGGTGCCGTAATGTTTATTTCTTTTATTATATTTGGATTTCTCCCGTTGCTGGCGTATGTTCCTGGGAAAGGTAGGGGCGTGGATGTTGTCTTTGTCTTCTCGTGTCTTTTGGCGACAGTTTCACTTTTGGTTCTGGGGTCCTTGAAAGGGTATTTAACTGGCATTGGCATGATTCGTTCTGCCACTCTGATGGTTTTCAACGGTGTCATCAGTGGCCTTGTGAGCTATTCGGTCGGGATGGCCATGGAGTCCCTCCTCCGTGCAAGGATTGGCGATGGCCCGTAGGGGCCTCTTGCGCCTTGTCATCGCATCCCCTTCGCCTCGATTTCCTCTTCTTATTATTATTCCTCCTTTTCTCATGCACGCAAGGGCGAGGGTGGGGGGCGTGGCAGAAGTGGCACGACACCGGATTATTCATTTATTTATTTTTTTTTCTTTCTTTCTTGGTTGTTGCTGTTGTTTTGTCGTTTGTTTCCCTTTTGGAGAATTATTTTTATCTTTTTGGGCGATTCCCACGACGGTGGATTTCCCCCCTGCCCTGCCCTGCCTTGCCTTGGCAAACGGCGGTTGGAGCGGGGTGACTGGGCGGAGAAGTGCAGGCGAGAGGCACAAGAGAAACATGCGGGTTGACCAACGACGACAAGAAAAGCAAAAAAAGGCAAAAAAGAAAAACAAGAACAGAACAGAATATGGAAGCAAAAAAAAAAAAAAAAAAAGAAAATTGGAAAACGAGCGATCGAAACGTTAAAAGATTAAACAACCTTGGCCCTCGTAATAATGCTGGAGATGTTGCGCTTTCGGTGCTGCCTGACTTCATCTTTTTTTTTTTTTTTCTTTTGTGTGTGTGTGTGTGTGTGTGTGGTTGTTGTTGTTGTTTGGTTGTTTGGTGGAGCCACATTTACTTTCATTATTTATTTATTAGCGTGTCTCTCTTTGTCTGTGTGTGTGTGTGCGTTTCTTTCTTTATCCTTTTTTTTTTGCTTCCATATTCTGTTCTGTATCTTGTTGTGGGTGTCCGCGTTGGCTCTACCATTGGGAAAAAAGGGAGGCGTGTCTTCATTGCGTGCAGGAATTTAAATGGACGATGAAAATTTTACTCGAGGAGGCTTCTGTCGGACTAATCGATGAATTCTGCATTCTCTGCAACGTGTGGCTGGCGGGCAATGTGTCGCAGCACACACACGGCGAGAAGCACTTGAGGTGGAGTGAAGCCGCACAGGCCGTCTTTCGTCAAACGGCACCGGCAGCGTGTGTTTTGGCGGCTACACTTCTTCGTCGCGTAGTGGAGGGCGAGGTGCGGGATCATTACTGCAGCCGTTGCAGCCAGCATGTGGGTGGAAAGTTTCGCCAGGCCATACACCACCTTGACAGCCGCCGGCACCATCGTAAGGAGGAAAAGCAGACTTCTCTCGTCTCCACGGTGATAAAGGAGGCATCACTTCACTCGGATGGTTTTGTTCAGGGCGTATTTTGTTCCATGTGCCTCTGCGTGGTTCCTGTGCAGCAGGAGAAACACCTGCTTTCAAAGCGGCATCAACGGAACCTGCGTGCGGCCATGTCTTCTGCTTCGCAAACGGAAGCAGCAGAGGCAAGGCAGGAGATGTGGGTCGAACTGCTTCAGCCTCTGCACGGTAATATTTGCTGTTCCTGTGCCGCGTACGTTCCTGCGGAAGATATTATGCAGCACTTTACATCAGAACGACACAAAAGAGCACACAGTTTTGCACTGGGCATAAAGGACAAGGACGGCGATAAAGGCCTGCGAGGTCTTCTTGAAAATGCAGAAGAGCACGCCGTGGATCGTTACTGCTCGGTGTGCGATGTCACGCTAAGAGCTTCCATGCGGACGCAGCATGCACAGGGGAAGCGTCACAACATGGAGTTGCTGAAAGCATATCGCGATCCGGAAGGGCACATAAAGCTCTGGAGGGAGCGATTCATCGCCAGCTTAGCGAAGGAGCGGGGACAGTTCCCAAATGTTGACAACACAATGCCCACGGTAGAAGTGCCATCCGCACCGCTAGATTCCTTAACATCAGTTGCGCCCACCAGCGCAACGCCTGAGAAATGCCCACAAGAACCATCGGGGACTTGCTTACTTGCTGATATGCCACTGCTCTTTTTCTTCATTAATGGGCTTTGCATCCTTTGTGACTGCGTTGTGACACCTCAATCGACGGGTCTGGTAGCGACACCCGTCGGCAAGGAGCACTGCCGAACCCCAAAGCATAAAGAGGCCCTTGATGCATTTGTTTTCCAACAACGCGAGATGGGGCAGGTGGATGCGGCAACAGCGTGGGCGGCTCGTTGGTACAAGGATGCGTTTGGTGCCTTGCGGGAGGAGTGCGCCTCCTGGCGTGAATGTGCCGAACGCTTGTCGCTTTACACAAGTGATGATTTTATGAAATTACTGCAAGACGATCTCCGTGCGGATGCATTTGTGGAGGCCGTCAGTTTGTTATGGACAGCCTCATAAATTCCACATTGCAGTCGTGGCTCCGTGGTGTTTATTCCGCTTTCGCCATTGTTTATATATATATATATATTCCTGCGAAATTGTCCTTTTTTCTTTTTTTTTTGCTCAATTTGAGTTTTTTTTTCTCTTGCTGTGGCTCATTTTATTTTGTTTTTGCATTTGATGCCCTTTTTTTTTTTTTTTTTTTGGAGAGTTCCGTTTTGCCTCCGTGGTGGAAGAAGGGAGGGGGCGGAGGGAGCAGGTGTGGGGGGACTTTACTGTGATGGCGGAGCGGCGACAGCCGCGAGTTCTGGGCGCCAAACGAACTGTATCGGATGCACTGGGAGCAAATGCTTTGGAGGGCGGCGGGCTCGCCGCGGTGGTCAGGTGTGTTGTGGCCGGCACCGTGGACGACAGTGTGACGCTGGGGCAGCTTGAAAATGTGGTGGCTTTCTACGCAAACCACAACAGTGAATACACAAGGCCTGGGGAAGATGACATACATGTCCTTATGTCGGAGATTCTAAACAATTCCATTCGTTCTGTTATGTTGTTCAGTGACTTTTCTTCTGCTTTCACGGATGTAGAGGTCTACTCCATTTCTGTTGCAGTGCAGTATAACTTGTCGTTGGAGGCAATAACCATGAATGGAGTTAATGTGAGTGATGAGGCAATTTCGATGCTTTGCGAGGCACTTATTAAGTCACGAGTAAGTTTTATTGATTTGTCCAACACTCCGTTAGAGGATGAAGCAGGGCGCTCCCTGGCTGCTTTGGCGCATGTGAACCCATACCTGCGTACTGTTGTTCTCGATGACACACTCATAGCCGAGGAGGTGCTGGATGAAATAGATGTGGCCTGTCAGTTCAATCAAAGCAATTTTGAGGCAAATGATGGCACGGTGGAAATTGGGAACCCCGCGGAGTTAGCACGGCTGCGACACCGTTTGCAGCACGTCATCCGGGCGAAACATCGGAAGACGTATTATTGTGTTGCCCATTTGTTGGGGATGTGTCCAAATGGGGATCTCTGCCTGTACTCCCACTCCCTCATGACGACAGGCGCACCGGATGCTAATGCCAACCTTCACGAGCGCCTTGCGAATCTCTTTGCAAGCGGTGGAAATTGGCAAGACAAGCTGCCGTCACCGCCTCAGGCGGGAGCGTCGTGGAAGGATCCGAATGAGGCGGACGGCCAGACACTGCGGCTGAACCTGGAAAGGTGCAAGGCGGGGGCCTCAAAAGTGGCTGCAAAGGGGAGAGGGAGGAACGGTGTGCAACACCCGACAGATGGTTGGCGTGGTTCGTATCGAGTTGTGGGTGCAACTGTGGCATTGGCGGCGGTGGTGCTCGTCGCAGGTTTGTGGTCTTCCAGACGGAAATGATGATTTGGAGAGGAGGGTTTTTGTACGGGGGCGGGAGCAGACTTCCATCCGTTTGTTACTGAGAGGAGGTCACCGTGAGCGCGTTTACATGTTCGGTAATGACTGGAGGAAGCGTCGTACGCCCCAATTTTTTGTGTATATTTATGTGCGTGTTTGTTTGTGTATGTTTGTTTCCTCTCTTCTTGTTATTTCCTTCTCCGGCTTCTCACCACCACCACCACATTCTGCAAATGCACCGTACTTCTTCCTCCTCTTTGCTTCTTTTTTTTTTTTTTTTTTTCGTGCCTGGTGCAGATTTGATTGCTGCGAGCCAGGCAAGTGCCATCAAAGCACGGAAGAGCAAAAAGAATAAGAAAAACTAAACAATAAAAAGAAAACAAAAGCAAGAAGAAAAAAGAACCTCTCAGAAATGTCAGGAACGGAGCATGACCAGTCAACGGATATCTTCTCTGCGGATGGTCGAGTCTTTCAGGTGGAATACGCATGCAAGGCTGTTGACAATGGCAGTACGGCCGTTGCTGCGTGTTGCACCGACGGTGTGGTGGTTGCGGTAGAAAAGATTCTTACCAGCCGCATGCTGGAGGAGAGGTCGAATGATCGCATCCACGCTGTAGATCGCCAGGCTGGTGTCTGCATTTGCGGCATGCTTCCTGATGGTCGCGCCGTTGTCTCACGGGCTCGTGCTGAGGCGGAAAACAGTCGTGATGTATTCGCTACTCCCATTCCCGGCTCTGTGCTTGCATCCCGTATTGGTGAATTTATGCATGTTTACACCACCCACTACGCCTACCGCCCCTTTGGCTGCTCTGTTATAATTGCTTCCTACGCCGATGACGGTCCACAGCTTTTCGTCTCTGACCCGAGCGGAACAGTGGCCGGTTACTACGGCATAGCACTGGGAAAGGGGAAAACAGTGGCCAAGACAGAGTTAGAGAAACTGAATTTTAAATCACTTACCTGCGACGAGGCGGTGGTGAAGCTCACGAAAATCCTTCACGATGTGCACGATAAATCAAAGGACAAATTGTACGAGTTGGAGGTGGCATGGGTGTGCAACAAGTCAAATTGTGTGTTTCAGCATGTGCCGAATGACATGATCCCGAAACCCCCCACGTCGCAGTAGTAAGGAATGAAGGAAGGAGCGAAAGAAAAAAGAAAAAAAAAAGAAAAGAAGAGGGGGAAATACGAGATGCAAAGGAGAGAGAGCGTGAAAAAAGAAAAAAGAAAAAAGGGAAAGAACGCGGATGGAGGAGGACGAGGAGGTGGTGACAGGGGGGAGACAGAAAGGAGAATACAATGCAAAAGAGGGTATTCATTGGGCTCCACGATCGATTTTGTTTCGTGTGGACGTCTCTTTTTCTTTCTTTTTTGTTTGTTTTTTATTGTTTATTGTTGTTGTTATTTCTTTTACTTCTCTCTGACATCTTTTTTGATTCCTTCTTGCCGGCAGGGTCTTTTGCCGACTGTGAACGATGCCGCCTTGATTCTTTTCTTCTTATTGGACGCACATTATTATTGTTTCTTTTACTTCTTTTCTTTATTCTTGGGTCCTGTGCGAAGGAGACGTGGTGGTGGTGGTGGAAGGGCATGAAGGAAGAGGTGGAAATGTGGTCAAGATGTGCTGCCGCTGGAGGAGAGGCTTGAACAAGTGCCAATACGTCATTTTTTTTTGGTCGTGTGTGTGTGCGTGTGTGTTGCTCCTTAAGATTAATTACCGACGGTTATTTCACAACGTTGGGGATACTTTCCCGCATGGTGCTGGCTTTTGAGGGAATAACATGCCAGGAGAGGAGTTGGCGGCTGTAGACGTCCGTTTCTATCGATCCGTCTGTCATTTCATTACCACCTGGATTGCGTGTTTGCATTATGTTTCTTTGGGCCACTTTTTTGCGTGTGTGTGTGTGTGTGTTGGGGAGAGGGGGAGGGCGATGTTACATTACCGCCAACGGCTCTCTCCCTTTTTGTTCCCTGCGTTTATTTATTGTGTTGAATGCGTTTTTACCTCTGTTTTATTTTGCATTTATGTTCCTGTGTTTATTTCCCACGTCTTTTTCTCTCTTTCTTTTTCCCTGGAGTCGCTGCGGAGGGGGCGTCTACGTGTGAGTGAGGGTGCAGGGTGAGGGGGTATAGTACTTGACATGGCTTTGCGCGGGGTGCCGATTCGTCTGGGTGTTCACCGTGTTGGATATACACACCCCAGCACTCTTCCAGTTCCGTGTGCACAGCGTTGGGACTTGCGGCTGGCGCGAGCCCGCATTTTTCAGGAGTACATTGAGGAGAAGGCACCGGGTGCGTGGCAGTTAGAGGACGAGCGGTCAATGTCGCCGGAGTTTAAGACATTTACAGGGTATCCAATGCGGGAGATGCGCCCGGGATACGGGCAGAATCTTCCGGACTTCATTATGAAAAAACGATTACCAAACAACACACATTATGAATTATTTGCCCGACGTGATATTCCTAACGAAGAGAACGCTATGTACGGAAAGTATCTCTATGATATGACTGTGCATGGGACTTCGCTTCCGTCGACCTATAGAATGCACAAGGACATAAATAAGGCTCAGCGTAACGACCGGAAACTTTCAGGCAACCGATTCAGGGTACTGTGTTCGTCTGGAGCGAAGAAACCACCTTCCGGATGGGAGCCAATTCCAGATGCAACCGAGGAGGAGGAGTAGCATTACGAGGCGCCATGGTTTTTTTTATTATTATTGTGCATTGGTGTGGAGTATAATGATTGCCGGTAACTGTGAATGTTTCTTTCCACTGTTGAGGAGGGGACACCATTGTAACTATAAATATATATTCATTGCAATGAAAATATCCCCTTGTGTTTGTGTTTGTGTTTGTTTGTGTGGACTGTAGCCCCTAATAGTAAAGGACTAGAAGTCATATGAGCGGCAACATGTTTGCAATTGATGACTGGCGAAGGGAGTTAACCGCGGAGGATCATGTGCAGCGGCAACACCTGGCCAAAACTTCTTTGCAGCGAAATTTTCGTGGGGATGCTCAACGACGTGTGACATCTTCAACTGCATCGTCCAACATGGCGGTGATAGACTGCTGTTGGGCTCGTGGCCACCGCACCGGGGGAGCGTCGTCTTCCTTTTCGACGGCCCTTTCAAATTACCTTTTTTGTGCTCTCTCTGACGGTGTAGTGTGCATCCTCAACACCACCAATTTTATGAAGATGTACCTTTTTGAACATGATTCCTCGCGACGGAGTCGAAGGGACGAACGTGCACAGAAGAAAGACGTCTCGCGTCAGCACGATTCTCGTCGAGAAGGGGTGGCGGCGATCGACACTGTACTTTTCCCCCGGCGAGGGAAACGAGAGTCATCCGTGTCCATCACGACGTCTGGCACGGCACTGGAGGGGGAAGAATTTTTGTCGCTTGTGTGTGCCTCGGCGGAGGGCTCGTTGTGTCTCTTCACCGTCGAATCCGAGGCGTCCAGTCACACGCGTTCTGCGAGCATCAAGACGGGGGCGGTTCACAAGGCTGTAGAGTTGCCTTCCGATGACGCTATTCCGGCAAAAGGGAGATGGGAAAAGGCGTACATTCGATTCAGCCCAAAGGGAGGGCGTGTTGTCGCTGTATTCTCTTCAATGGTACCGTGTGGTGCAACCACCGTGGAAACGAACAGTTTCTTTCTCACCGGAGAGATTGTGGAGTACGTGACTCTCTTCTGTGTGTTGAAGTGGAAGGAGGGCGAGTCAATTGAGACGTTCACTGTGGAGACACCTTGGACCCGCATACGGGCTCCGAGTAATGCGGCCTCGGCGGAACTGCAATACGTTGGCTGGTGGGATGATGATGAAAGTGTTTTTCTGACGGCGTGGTCGGATGGTGCCGTATCGCTCATGGGTGTTCACTTGGAAACTTTGGCGCATACCTCTATTTTTTGCACCCCGGCGGAACGAATGGCGGGGCGTGTATCTATGGTCACCGCCGTTCCTCCGATCCCTCAGAACAAGGGGAGCGGCAGAGCCTTCACATATTACCAGTCCGGTCTTGTGGCAATGGTATTGGATGGAAATATAGTCATGGTGTTCACGGCTTATGATTCGCAGCAGCGTTACGGGACCGCAAGCGAGGATGGACCACCACTGAAATTCGTCAAGCTGGAGACAGCGAAGGGGCATACAGAGCCTGTGAGAGAGTTCATACTGCGTCCTGGGCATCACACGTACTGCAGCGAGGATATCCCTGTTTCCGACATTGCACTTTTTGATAATTTTCTTCCTTACACTTTGGCGGTACTTCTGCGGAGTGGTGCTTTAATTGCACTTGACACAGTCACAATGGAACTTCTTTACCATCGTCCACTCCAGCGTATTTTTCCCTCGAAAGGAGGGAAAGCCGCTTCGTCAATCAACGAGAAACGCGAGGCCGCGATTGTGGGAGACGGTGGGAATTCCAGCGGCAATGGCGGTTGTGTTAGTGAAGGTATGAGTTACTTTATGAGACCGAAGGAGAGACCGATGACAATGTGTGTTGTGGAGCATAACACGGTTCTGTTGCTGCGTCCTTCTTGAAGAAGAAAAGGGGGTATGTGAATACATCCAAAGAGAGTTCTTCTTATAGATGATACCACGGTAAAGAGAGGTAGAGGAACAATAATAACAAAAAGAAAGAAAAAGGACATAAATTCAAAGATGACAAGCGTTGGTTTACACTCCCGTTTTGTCAGATGACATTTTCGGGCATTTGCTCGGGGTATCCGCGTTTCTGCGTGATTCAAATATATATATATATATATATATATGCCTGTATGTGTTTTACTTTTCTCTTTGTTTTTTTTTTTCTTTTTTTTGCTCCGGGTAGTTATTTGGGGGAACAGATCTCCACATCCCGGCCTTGCCAGATGCCCCTTTTGGGGGGGAACCATTTTTTTTTTCACATGCCCATCACATGTGGTTACCGAAGCGCTTTTCAACGGATGACTCTCCGTTCCAACCTTGAAATGGCAATGGTGCTTTCAACTATAGAGACGGGGGCGCGGTACTTTGCACGTGTTTCACCTGTTCAAGGAAAAATTGATCCCCCCAAAGGCGGATTTGTGACGGACGACGTGAAAATTGACATGAACGCCAACATCGGTGGTGCGTACGCGCGAGGTGTGTTTGCGTGTCGTGAGATTGGTTACGGGCGTGAAATTATGAATCTCCCTGCTTACGCCATGTATATTGGGGACAGTGAGGAGCAAACGCTACGGGAACAGGTTTTGATCCTTACAAAGGAGGTGTTCACAAAACTTGTGCTTGGCTCCCCTGAGGAGAAGCTGTACATCAAACACCGCGTCATGACACTCATGTCTGGCGGTTTTTCATACTTTACCCGAGAGAGGGATGTCTTTGAGTTTGTGGAGGATGTGCGTGCCCCGGGCGCGGAAGGCGTTCTTAAGAATGGGGCGAATTATCTTCTTAGCGGCGAGTTTTCCTCCTACGACTTGCAAAAGCTTCCACTCATCATTGAGTTCAATCGATACGACGTTGAATATAACGGGCGCCGTGGCATTTGCCTGTTTCCTGAGGCACAGTACTTTAACCACCAGTGCGAGCCCAACGTGGAGGTGACAATTACTTACAATAGTCTGAAGGGAAGATTTTTTCTGAGCGCGCGAACAGTACGCCCGGTGCGTGAGGGAGAGGAGTTGTTCATCAACTACATGCCTGGAAATACCCTCCCACTGTCACGATTGGCGTTGGCAATGAAAAAGCGGTGGGGCTTTGAGTGCACATGTGTCCGGTGCAAGAGTCGCGGCATTGGCGCCGTAACCATGTTGTTTGTTGTTGTGTTGCTCCCCATGACGGCCTATCTTCGCTCAGTCAACGTTCGCCGCACACAAGAGAAGCAGCGTGGTGTGTGAGTGTCTGACTGGCGCCTCGGCAGCAGCAGCAGCAGCAGCTTCAGGTCTGTGGCGGCTGTTGAGGAGAAGGACCGCAGCCAAAGGGCGGAAAAGGGGAATAGTGCGTGCGTGTGTGTGTGTGTGTTTGGGGAGGAGGGAGGGAGGAGCAGGAGGCGGGGAAGAGGACCCACATTTTAAATTCTTTTTTCTTTTTTCTTTTTTTGACCGCGTCGTCGTTACCGCGTGGGTGAAGTGACGCGTTTTTTTTTTTTTTTTTTGCTTCTGCTGCTGCGGCCCACTACGTTTTTTTTCTTTTTTTTTTTTTTCTTTTTTTTTTTTTCTTTTTTTGGCATTTGTTTCGTTTGCGCAGTCATTTTGCTTCGCTGAAAACCGAAGTGGACGGCGCAGGAACGTGGGAAATATCAAAAAAAAAAAAAAAAAAGTGTAGGAGAAACAGAGGATTCTAATAAATTTAAACCGGAGAAAAGTAAATAAAAAAAAAAATAGTCAAGGCTTCAAGCCTAATAAGGCGAAACGAGAGAAGAAAAAAAACAAGAACAGCCACAACAACCACAGCGTTACCAAGGAGACAGGGGTTAGGGGGGGGGCTCAGGGAGTAGAACGGTGACACAGGCTGACTGTTGTGAAGGGTTTTTTTTTTCTTCTTCTTTGCGTCGCTGCTACGTTTGCAGGATTAAAGAGAATCCTGCAAAAGAATCACTAGGGAGGGTGAAATATACGCCTTGATTACATAGATTTCTCACTCAGTGATTCTATATACATTATACATTATACATTATATATATATATAGTTTCTAAGCTGAGTGTGTCATTTCCCTGTGATAATGATGCCAAAGGATCCTGGCCTCTGGGGGACGGGTTTGCTTGGCGGCACCTCCACAGGGACGTCAGGCGGAGGTGCAAATGCAAACAGCCGTGGAGCAACAGGGATGGGTGGTGGCAACGCCTCAGCGCCAATTACCTCGACGGTTGCAGCGGCTAACGCGGCCGCAACCACATCACTTCCTAGCGGCAACAGCTACGCCTTTTTGTCCTCATCAGCCGTCACTGCCACCTCCCCATCGGTGCTCGTGCAGAGCGGGGGCGGTGGTGTGAATGGCATGGGCAGCAACGCAGTCGGTCTGATGCCGGCGATTGTCAGTCACGATCGGTCGCAAGAGCTGTGCAAGTACTTTCTCAACGGGGGGTGTCTTCGCGGGGCACAGTGCCAATATCTTCATGAACTTCCCGATGAGCGTCACCTTGATGTGAATGGCTACGGGTACATCCTCAATCCCAACGTGCACAATGCTCAAAAGACACTCCCTCTAGCAATGAACAGCAACCCAACTGGCACTGTTCAGGTGAACGGTGGGGCTTTGTCGGCCTCCCCACTGATGTTAGGACTTAGTTCGAGCGGTAGTCGGCAGACACACGGGGCTAAGGCCAAGCCGCAAACATCGTTTATGGTCGGTGTGCCAACACATCTGCCGTTTCAGCTTTCTTCATCGAATGCCAAGGCATCGCCTCCAAAGTACCGCCCACCGGAGCCCTTTTTAGATTACAACCTGCCGCCTACACTAGCACTGCCGTTTAACACTCCGCCGAAGGATGTGGCTCTCCAGCTAACACGCACAATGCTTCAAAACTGAGGGAGAAAGTGAGGGAGGGAGAAGGGAGGATCACTGCGACCCACTGTGTTTCTTTCCTTCTTTTTCTCTTTTTTTTTTGTTTGTTTGTTTGTTTTTCACATCTCCCCCTCCCATTTCGTACTTTATTATTCCTTACTTTCTTCTACGCCGCATGGAAGTGCTTTTTCCTCACATGCTGTTTTTTTTTTTTTTCTTTCTTTTCTCTCTTTTTTTTTTTTTTGCGTGCGTGCATGTGTGTACTTTGGACGCTCCCACCACGGGACAACGCCGCTGCGAGTGAAGGTGTGTGTTTGTGTGTGTTTGTGGCATCAGCGAGCGGGGAAGTCGATGTGGAGGCATGTGAGGGAGGGGGAGGAGGGGAATGAGTGAATGAGAAGTAAACAAACAAACAAAAAAGCCGAAAATAATAAAAAAAAAAAAAAAAAAAAAAAAGGAAAACGAAAAGAAAAAGGGCCAAAAGAAAAGAAGAAGAAAAGTGAGTGTGTGTGTGGGGGGAAGGCGATAATAAATGAGACGACCGATAATAAATAAATAAATTAAAAAAAAAAAGCAACAACACGAAGAAGAAAAGGAATCATAACTGAAAATTTAGGCACGTAAATTTAGGCCTTCAATGAATGAGGGGACAAGAAGAAAGAAAAAAAAAAAGATAAAATATAAGAAGGAGGAGGAGGAGAAGTGTAATGATCATTTATATAACCGTGTTTGTGTGTGTGTGTGTGTGTGTTGTCATCTCTTTCTATATTTTTGTTTATCTTTTCGTATTTATTTATATTTATTTATTTATAAGTGGGAATCCCCCCTCTGCAAGAACTAAAAAAAAAAAAAAAAGAAAAAAAAAAGAAGACGTATTTGTGTTTCCCGCGAAACAAAAACAAAAAGTAATAATAAATAAACAAAAAAAAAAAAAACAAAAAAAAACAGATTATTATTTAATTCTTTTTTGTGGTGTGTAGAGGGAGAGAGATGGCGGTGTTGGGGGACTGAGCGGTTTTCTTTTTTTCTTTTTTCTTTTCTTTTCTTTCTTTTGGTTTACTTGGCAGACATGCCCGTAATATGACGCATTCACACCTTCTGGGTGCATGGGATTGCAGTGGTGTACACGTTGGCGCGTTTGCTTCTCAATGTCTGCACGAAGTGGGAA